GTCATTGAGACTAAGCAACTATTGAGTGCAGATTATTAGCTGTAGTGAGTATATGAACTTATCGTATACTTACATTATTGTTAATCATGTCAAAATAGCAGTTTGCGCTAACTTTAGGGAGCTAAATTATGATTACACCTTATTTTGAGCAGTGAATGTATTTTATTCCTCTACTAGCTATAGCCCAGTACCAAATTATGATTCATAAATTAATAAATTACCAGGTAGTTATAAAAAGTTTAAAGCTATCATTTTCTCCAAAAATGTTATTGCATTAAAAGTATGTTCTTAAAACTAAAAGGATATTGAGTAGATATTGGTAAGCAACAGATACACCTGGGCCCGGTTGTTCAAAACTATCGTTAAGCTAAGGCAAATTTGGCTAATCAGTAGCTGGGATTCAATCCCTGAAGTAATGTAGCATGGACATTTCAGAAAATTATTTTTTCTGCTACCAACATAGCTTCACTCCCAAGGTTGAGTAAAAAATAGTCTGGAATGGGTACTACAGTGTCAGCTGTGCAATAATAAAATTAAAGACAGGTGGCACTGTCTAAAAAATATAATGTAATTGGAAGCAATTCCAATGCAAAACAGAACATGTACAATAAAACACCTCTAGCACTCTTCCGCGCATTCACATATGCTCAGGTATTAGCCAGGTGGCTTAGGACCAGTACCTGGTAGTTAGTGCCTGATAAGGCAACCCAAGTAAGGTCCTTATATTGTATGGATGTACAATATCGATATATGTATTGTAAAGTGTCTCAGAGTTGCTGATTCTTGCTATAGTATATATAGGTGTTATAACAAATGTCATGAAATATATTAATAACACAGGCTTTTCAGTAACTTCCATTTGAACAGACCAAATGACATTTTTAACCCGCCAAGTTAAGACAGTAATTAAGTGGATACAAATCAAGATCCATGTAGTGTCAAACAACTTCAGTGGCCTCTGAGCTGTGCATTATTATATTGAGTACCGTAAAGTACTGCAAAAACACAAACAATTTGCTGTCTTATAAGAATTGAATTTTAATACACAAACCCTTAGCAAACAAAATGATATTTAACTTCTACCAGTAAAAAGTTTTTATGTAACCTTATAAAAAAGGATGAAAGTATTGTAACACATGTAATAAAGCAGGATTAAAGTGAGTGAAGTAAAGAGGAAATGCCTTAAATACTGCTTTCCTCTTGCTACTATTTTCTTCCTTATATATGTGCTATATTTATTTTAAGTATGAAGTACTAGTTCTGTCCACATATATGTTATATACACTGTTCACAATCTTAGTGAAATAACTTCACTCCTCAATGCTATCTCAAATGATACTTTTAAAGTCAACATGGAAATTTTAGAATTTCCTAGTCATAATGATTTAAAATCTAGCTGATGATACTGATATACAAAAGACAAAAATGTTTCTGCTACCAAGGATTTTAACATTCATATAGAGTCCCGAACTGTAACAAATATATAATATATGTACGTAGTACAGTATTATATCTCAGAGCAGATTAGCTGACAAAGAAAAATCTTTATTTGGTTGCAAATAAAAAGTAAAGCTTCATAAAGTTCCCAAAGATTGGTTTCTCCTGCTTTTCAGTAGTAAGTTAAAGTTGTTGTCAATTCATTATCTTTCAAACAAACGCTTGTCAAATGGCTGCACTAATGGAATCTATGAATAACTATTATTATATAACTAAATAGAAGGTAAACTTTCTGCATGGGCATCTTTCAAGCAATATCTCCAAATACAAATTTTAGTTTTCTTACAAAGCAGTATTTAGGATATATATTCTACATTGATATACCTATCAAATACATATAGCTTCAAATGAAAGCATCCAATACAAGTACAGAGCTTAATCAAGATAGAGTTCATAATGAATTCATCATTTATTTTTCATTTTTTGGATTTTGTACATTATATGTTTGTTTTATGTTAAACAGATCTAGTGCTGTTTATCTATTTTATCAATCCATATAATGAATGTTCGTCACGAGAAGCAGTTGTCTGTCGTTGTACATAGTTGTGTGTCTGTACCTGACATGGGAATCGTGTTAACCACCTGTATAAGGTGTTTGGAGCTTGCAATATGTATAATATATATAGAGAATAATACATGCCTTTTTTCCATATCACACCCAGTATCAACCCGAGACTGCAATATCAGCCCAAGGGCTGATACAGGTTTTGGGGTGTGATGCGGAGGGGCTGATACAGGTTTTGGGGTGTGATACGGCGAGGGCTGATATGGGTTAGAGAAAATGTGTTGTATCACATATATACAAAAAAACGTATTTATTAGTAAGTATGTAATGAATATATTTATCACATAATGTACTTTGTTATAAATCAAGTGAATATACCCACATTTTTGATTGTTTCAATTATGACCTCACACCTAGGACAAGTACATGACGTCACAGACTTACGCCCTGGATTCCAAATGGTGGCTCTTTACATTTCTAGGTTGCATGGAAATTGTTATTTTACAAGAGGAAATGCAACAAATCTTGATTATGTGATAAAAAGGATCTTACACTCGTTTTCATTTCATATGGAATTTATGAAACTTGTCATGATTTTTTCATTTTAGCTAGCCAGAGGCTCGCTAAATTGAACAAATCTTAGACTCCTTTCATAAATCTCGTATGAAATGGAAACTCATGTAATTTCATATATATATATATATTTGGTAACATTTGAGAGTTAACCATCTCATTCTTGTCTTGTCCAGTGGTCTTTTTTTATATGAATGATTCAGTTTATAATATAAACACCAGGTGCATGCTAACTAGTGCTTCATTATGTCTGAAAGTTACTACACCCAATGCACTTTACACCTGGAAAATACAGTACATGTATCATGTAGGTGTTACATTCACCTTCGATTCTTATCAAGGTACGAAAGTTTTATTACAGGTAGGCAGTGTTCCAGGTAGAGATAAATATTACTGCAGATTTCTTGTACAGGTAACTCAGGACTTACCTTCATATGCATAATGCACGTAAAAAAAACACTTGTTCAGGAAAAAGGTTGACATTGGTACCTTCTTTTATATAACTCCTATGACAGAAACTAAGATGCAAATGGGTAATTCAGGCAATTTCAGTGAACTCAATAATGAATTGCCCACTGAAACAGGTACGTCTAAAGATTTTACAATTCTTTAAATCAGTGTGAATTTCTACAATGAACACTTTTAATCTATGTTAAATGAAATTAATATGATTGCCATCAACAATATAAAAGTACATTTTATATGTTTTTTTGGATCTGACTCAACCTTCTTTGAAATACATGTTTAAGGTGACAGTACCAAAATCGGATCACCAAACCATCATTTTATTAAATCATTGAAATATCTGAGGAGGAATTATATTAATTTATGATTGTATCAAAAATAGAATATCAATGGGTGTTCTCACAAACACAATTAGCACCCGGGGCTCACTTGAGATATTTATAGAATACTCTGAAGTCACCAATCAGTGTCTCCTGATTTTGCGAATGTCGGGACCCAAATCGGATCACGGCTTGAATTTTGCAGTATCGTACGTTTCAAATGAATATTTTTTTGTCAGCATATTAACATTTTATGATGACCTTTAGAATTTATATGACGAAAAGTATTTCTTTAGTGTGAATTTATTCCTATAGTCCAAAACAGAGAACATAGTCGTCGCACGCGCCATTTTTTTTAAATGTAATCAAAACATTGACATTTGAGTTTGAATTACGTTTTCTTGCGCTATTTGAACTTAAAAACTAATTATCTGTAGTCAAAAAATGGTGCATGGCTATCTATTCTAAGACTACATCATTGTTATAACTGATTTGTTGACACATTTATTTATTTATAAGCATTTTAGCAAAAAGTTATCCGATTTGGGTATATACTGATCCAATTTGGGTACTGCCACCTTAGTGCTATGCAGCATCCTTCAAAAATCTGTCATATTGCATTTGGTTAAGGAGATCTGGTTACTGGCATCTGTGTATCCTGTAGTTATACTGTATCTAAATCTGACATTAGATGTAGTTCAGGTGTTATAATACAGAAGACCACTAGCTATAATACAGAGACTTTACTTCTGACCTCTTGTAGTGACCTTGATATACGATATACATGTATCAGTCATAAAATACAGCTGTATGAATTCATCACTATTTAACAACTTTTGAATTATAAGGCTCCCTGTAAGGTCAAACCTTAGCTGACACTTTATGCTCCCATGAAATATCTACACTGTGCTAAAATTTACATAACTGTTGATATGAAGATTTAGCAATAGATACAGTTTCTAATATTACTGGTTGGTAACAAAACTTATCATATCCTGCTGCATGGAGAAAAAATATATAATAATGCAGTTTTTAAAATTTTAAGTAACATGACCTATATTTAAAATGGAGGATCAATGTTTACAATGTTAAACTAATGGGTTCAAAATAATGGTGGTTTTCAGTCTAATATTACATTATTATATGAACTCAATATAATTTATCATTTTGAATACTGCAACACATATAACTGCACCGAACTTACTGCACTGTAACAGTACTGCCATACTGCACCAAGTCCTTGAGCAGAAGACCGAAATTCAAACTATGAGAAAACAACCCTTTAGCAAAAACTGAAAGAGTCTGACACGACTATATGACAGATAAATGGATGCAGTATTGTCCAACAATGACAAGTCCCATGGGACATTCAAATGTATAAATCCATGACGAAGCAGAAAGTATGTCTTTGTTTGTTACTCCTTGTAAATATTACCATCAGCTGTGTTCTATTTCTGAACCAAAACACCAACAAGTTATAGACACAAAACAACTGCGACTTCATACATTCAAACGTTTCATGAGACAACTTCATATATATTCTAACCAATTAAGTACTGCTCGTTCCAATGAATATTCCTTGAATTGTCAGCATCAACAAATCTATTTAGTAAACAAACATACGGAAAAAACAATCTTACCTGTTTTGACTTCCTGCGCCATGTCATTATGATATCATCTAAATATCGGAAAATCCCGTCCGACGTGGGAGTCACGTGGATTCTCCAACCACGCACGACGCCATATTGGACGATTCATGGAACTGGCACTGGAAGGAAGAAAAAATGTTTCTTTATAACGTCAGCATATGTGTTTAATATAACGATATACATACAGGTATACAATTTGTTTGTAAGAATATTTTATTGCATTATGATGGAAACAGCGACTCTCTTATTAGTATAAACATATGTTTACCAAATGACCTTTTCTTCTCATGAGGCCGAAGAAAGGATCGGCCATATGCCGACTAACATGGCATGTAGGGTTGTTGTCACGTTGTTCATGATTGATTTAAATTTGCTACTTGACATAGATAGTGTCTTCGATAACCTATCTCATAATAAATACAATTACCATACAAATTTATTTACGGGATTGTTTTGTCAGGTTCATTACTCCCCCCCCCCCCCCCCCCCCCCCCACACACACACATTTCGACTGCTCAGTACTTTACCAGAGACCTCTTCCCTTCTATGATTTTGTTAAATTGTTGGAATTTATATTCTTGATATCTTTTGTATGCATATTATATTTCAAGTTTTCATTTTTGTTCAAATTCAAACTAGCCACAACATATCCAAATTTCATATTGATATTTCAGTCAGTGATTGATATGTCATGTCAGTAATATAGAGGTTCCCAAACGATGGTTATCATGTAAGGTGGCAGTACCCAAATCGGATCACTTTTTGCAAAAATATTTATAAATAAATAAATGTGTCAACAAATCAGTTATAACAATGATGTTGTCTTAGAATAGATAGCCATGCACCATTTTTTGACAACAGATAATTAGTTTTTAGCGCAAGAAAACGTAATTCAAACTCAAATGTCAATGTTTTGATTACTTTTTAAAAAAAATGAGGCGTGTGACGACTATATATATGCACTATGTTTTGGAATATAGGAATAAATTTACACTATAGAAATACTTTTTGTCACATAAATTCTAAAGGTCATCATAAAATGTTAATATGTTGACATATAAATACTCATTTGAAGTGTACAATACTGCAAATTCAAGCCGTGATCCGATTTGGGTCCCGACATTCGCAAAAACAGGAGACGCTGATTGGTGACTTCAGAGCATTCTATAAATATCTCAAGTGAGCCCCGGGTGCTAATTTAATTTGTGAGAACACCCATCGATATTCTATTTTTGATACAACCATAAATGGATATAATTCCTCTTCAGATTTTTCAGTGATTTAATAAAATGATGGTTTGGTGATCCGATTTTGGTACTGTCACCTTATATCTAACTCAAGTTAGTTAATCTTCAAATTGTATAAAGACGCATGGTATACCAAGTGTCTTTTTACAATTGGAAAATATCTTGTGATATAAACGTGATGACCAATCACATGTTTCCGATGGGGATGAAACAATTGCCATGTAGCATGACGTCGAAATAGCCCAAGTTTCCTCTGACCCCAACACCAGACTTGAACATTTGACTTATTACGTTAGTGCAGGCAAATTCGCCATGCATCCAAATTCGTCACCCTGTGACGAAAATGCCATATGACGTCATAATACATAAGATGTGACGTAAATAATATCACCATAGTTTTCAACACATTTAAAGTCTTAAAATATTTTGACAAGAGGAGGTATAAGAAGGGAAAAGTTATTTTATTAATCAAAACAGTTCTGAAATATCTTGTAACACAAGTGTACTTTGTTATATACCATGTATACAGGCGACCAAATGCTTATGGAAATGATGCTCGGAAAGATTTGATAATTCATTTTTTCAATTTAATGCAATATGTAGATTTATTAAGAAAACAATCGACCAGTATATTTTAAAACTATCGTTTGCGTCTAACATTAAGCCATCTTACAACACTTGCTAGATTTATATTTGAAAAGAATTTACAAGTACGTGTACTGCTGTACAATCGCATGATGATTACATCAAAATGAACTCCTAGCAGGTTATTCAATGAGCCTTGAGTGAGGAAATCTGAAGTGGTTGTGGAAGAAAATACCGAAACGAATGTATGGCAACATATAAACAAATTTCATATTGAAACAAAAAACTGTTTCCCGTGTGTTAAAAGCACCATGGTGTTGCATTCAGTATTTCACACATTCATTGCAGTTATAGAAAGGACCTGATTGAATCAGGCTGATTCACTATCAGCTCACTCAACAGGTACCTGTGTTATTTGAGCATTAAACAGCATTCTGTTTCATGTTATAAGCTGTGTTATAAGCTGTGTTATCCAGTGAATTCGCCCGTGTAATATTTTTACATGTCAATAGTGTAATATACCCTGGAGCTTTTTTTATTGGCTGTGCCAGTCAGAAATTGATTGTGATGTCATAACATGGACAATGACGTGACGTCATAAATTGTGAATGGTGCAACAAAATGGCTGTTTCCGTTTGATTAAGCCCTCTATATTTTGGCTTTAAAAACTGCCAAAATGCAAGTTTTCTGAGTTATATGTGATAAAAAGTATCTTAAATTTGTTTTCATTTCATATTCATGAGCTTTTAAGAAACTCATCTCGAATTTTTGCTAGCCTAAATAAAAACTTCTAAGACTTGTTTCATAAAATCTCATATGAAATGAAAACTCGTTTTTAGATCCTATATATAAACATTACAGACATGTCAAAAATGTTGACAAGATTTGAACATGTTTTGGGTTTAATGTCTTCACAACTAACTGCTCAGGTCATGTGAAGGGAAATGATAAAAGAAGATATTTATTCCAAGTGTTGCAATGGGGGAAACAGATCAGTGTTGGACTCTGTAAGGGACCCACCCACACAAGTCGCCTCTTACATACATGTAGTGAGATTTTCTTCAGGTAGTTGCATCACCATTTTCCAAAACTTCACTGTGTATTCATTGCAAAAATTGGGACAAGTTATAATTACTTGATTTGTTGATAAAGATGCCCCATCCTAAGAATGAATTGTATTGTGATGATCTATGCCCTTTCCATACCATTAAAATAATTATCAATACCCTTTACTGCCAAGAGAAAGTTCTTCTCTACCGGTGCCACTAGCTCCAGCAACACCAATTAGTCATTTAAAATTTATGTTGAATTATTTGTTCTCGTTACAGATGTTACCATGATTAATATCCAGCTACATCAGAGGCTGTAAGTTGAAGATACTCCTTTGGTTCTGGATCACAAAAGAGCTTCCCTACAACCATGGCTTGCATACACTTCAAGTTCAAGAACAGTCTTGACTATGACTCTGTTACCTTCGATGGACTCCATATTTCTCTTGGGGACCTGAAGAAGGCTATCATGCAGAGGAAAAGACTTAAGGACACCGATGTTGATCTTCACATTGTCAATGCCATTACGAAGAAAGGTTTGGGCTTGAATCAATTTTGTGATAATTAAGACCTACATTTTCATTAGTATTGTAATTCATATTTTTGAGACATGGACTGATGTTTTTCCTGTTGACTCGTCAATTTTTCGAAAAACCTCTATGATTTAGTAATTGAACGCATCAAAATTTTGAAAAAGATGTGCAGAACTCGCCTGAAAAAAAATCTACAAATATCACTGATAATTTAGTAAACTGCCAGTTTAATTTGAAATCAAGAAGATCATAATTCGGGATTCCTTTTTTCATGTTTTCATATTAAAAATATGCTTTGTGTTGCCTGTAGACTGTAGAGCTCTTTCAAGTTTTTAATAAAATATTAAAGTAAGTTTGAACCAAACTTTATTTTATTTTTTTCCCCTGCAAACCAAATTTTTGAATATATTTTTATTTGTGTCCAGCATACCAGGAGACAGAAGAGATGATTCCGAAGAATACCTCGGTGATCGTCTCCAGAATCCCTTTGGCCAATGCTGTAAAGCCCAGTGGCCCGAAGACATTGTAAGTGGAACCCTCAGAATTGATCATCTGTGATGTTAAATATCGATTAGTCCAGACATGTGATCAACCATCTTATGTAGTATACAATACTAAACTTCGAAAAAGACCATATATATATTTTACTTCAGACCTGAGCATTTCCAATTTTATTCATTATGTAAACCGACTGGTTCACTTATTGTCTTTGTTTGCTGTGGCTCCATGCAGATAAAGTGTATGTAGACACTACTACAAAGATCTAAAACCCAGAACATGTAGACTGATCAATAATCAGTGGGGGGATTATTTTTTTTAAACATAATTGGTGACTGACAGACCATATACTGCCCTATGACCCTAATTCATATAGAGTGGTCAGAGTTTGTTAATACTGATATTGGGATTGATCTTCCTATCTTTGTTTTATATATTGGCTCAGACCAGTTATTGGTGCTTATGACCTCTCCTGTGTTGATCAGCTGTTCAACATGACAATAAAGAAAGAATTGGCTCACTTCACCTATTAGGTTTATTTATGGTACTTGCAGAACTATGATCAGACATGCAAAATTGAAGTTTAAATGATTGAACAAAATATTCTAATTTAGTTTTGTATTTTGGATACTCCCAAGTCCAAATGTTTTCAAGTGGGATTTACATTCTGGTGACCATTTCTTTGTCAATCAGTGAGGATCACTCCGGTTGCTCTGTGTTGAGAATCAAGCGATGGCTTGATAAATAAAAGTCCCCTGAATGTGATAACTAGAAACAGAAGTATTAATCTTATGTTAACAGAATGAAATGTTCTCCTTCTATTAGGTTCACTTATATCAATATATGTTTGTCATCTAAATGTTAATTATAATGTCTTGCCTTTCACTTGCTTTTTTTTTCTTTTTCAGAAATGCTTACCCCAAGGATGAACCAAGATCAGTACGTTCAATGATATTGTGTTTGGTATAGTATGAAATTGTTTATAAATTTAAAGTTGATGTTTATCAACAACAATTTTCCCGGCCCCGACCTGTCCCTAATACGGGGCATGTCATTTTGTGTTCACTTGAAATAAAATCATCACTTTGTCATGCCTCAAAATAACATGCATTTAGATATTCACCAGTAACATGCATCTTTGAGAGGTCCTGGTCCACTGAAGCCATACTTGTACTTAGTATATGTACCATATTGATTTATGAAGTGTTGAAAAGCAACCATGATGTGGTTCAGATTTCAGTTTAAGTAATGATTATGTTGTTTGATTTTTATCTGAATCTGAGCTGATGTATCTTAATGTTGTTATTTTTCCGATTTTTTTTTTATCAAAGGAGAAGTTGGTTGTGATACATTGTCAGTATTTATTTTATGTAACTTTTCAACGTTTGTAATTTTTTGTGTATTGTTGGATAATGGTGATTGTTTGTGTAAGATTATTGTTGACATTGTGCTGCTTTTGATTGTTGGTCTGTCTGTGGTAAATGAATTGTTGAATATTTATGTCTGTTTAATATCAAGAGAAGAATTCAAGATTGACTATAATGTCATCGTCTGGAGCCGAATTGAAGATCACGTTGCGGGTAGAATCCTGTACACTGCCGAAAGAAGAATTCCAAATGCCATTAACTGAAGAAGTTTCAAAAAAGACATGTTGCTCTAAATACGCGTATCGTGCGTGTTCGCGAAGAAGATAAGTGCGCGAAATACGTGCTTCTCCGTGCTATGGAAACCAGGACTTGATTGACACTAAATATGTATGAATGCATTATGCTTTGAATGTAAAACTGCAAAGGTGTGATGAAACTAATATTGATTGTTTTTATGCTGTCTTGTGACAAATGCAAATCTATGAATTGTCTTACTTTGATAAAATTTGGTGAAATGGATGACTTCCTTTGCTATGGTTTTCATTGTCATTTAACCTTAACAATTACAATTAGACCTTGTTAAAATGTCAATTTTTTGTTTTGTAAAATTTTTGGCATATTTATGAAAAGGTTTGTGATAAAGAAGACAAAGTATTTGTAAATACACTGAGAGAAATAATGATGGTGGCATGCCATTGTGTTGATTTCAATAATATGGCAGATTTCTGAATGTTTGTATGGGGCAAATAAGTTCATTCATTGATGAATTGTCAAAATTTCAGTATTATAAACTTTAGTTCTGCATATTAACTGTGAATTGAGGTTGTACAGGAAGGTAGAATATTTAAAAGTTATGAGACATTTTATAGACAATGATCGTTAAAAGGGAGAACAAAAGTAAGAGTGGATATGTAAATTTGAGAAAACTGAAATGGTTTATATATTACAATGTATCTCATATAACAGTTCAGTATTGAATATTGATAAATGTGTTTTCATGGTGCTCATAATTTTTTTGGATGTGCCTGTTTTCATTATGGTAGCTTTATTTTGTGATTTTACTTAAATGTTTTTTACAGTGATATAAGCAATATATATTTACATAACTTTTTTAATCGAACTTACATGCGTTTTATATATACAAATATATCATATACAAATGATTTTTTTATTACTTAGTTAACAAATATTCCTTTAAGTTTTTGCACACTATTAGTACTTTAGTGTATCTTGTTGAGTAAAGTTGTTTTTGTTTTGGTGAGTCATTGATCAAAAGTATAGAAATAGACTTTAAAAAGTATGCATTTTATACAGTTGAGTCTTTGTTGAAGTTTGAATATTTAAATACACACAATTTATTTGTAGTTGATAATGCTATGAACAAGTAACAATACATTGCAATACTAAGATTTTTGTCATTTTTGTTACATAATACATGAAACCAATCGTTCAGTAGGATCAAATCCACATATAAATACAGATTATGATGTCCTACTTTTTAGTGATCGCTCAGGCCATTTATTTAAGTACTATCAGGATGGTTGGCATGAAAATGTGTGCATTACATTTTGGAGTATCGGACACATTTTTCCCTCGAGTAATATTTTTTTTAAAGACATGTTTTCATAATATTATTTAACCTATTTATATATTGAATGAAGAACTTATCTGATTTATTTTGTATGATAATGATTTAAGACAGAATATACTAACATGTTATCTCCCTTGTATAGAACTAATACATTTGAAGGTGAAATGTTTATCCTTGGTAGTGTTGGTGATATATACCACTGATTCAATGAAGTGAATCTGTTTCAACTTTATAAATAAAAAATGAGTTTTTTAAGATATCATTTACTAAATTAATAAAAGCTCTCGGCTTGACATTCCTCCAGCTGATAATTTATAATAAGAACTGTTATGCTTGTTGGATAAAGTGCTATTTTAAACTGATAGTAGCTATTGTACCCTAATTAAATACCATGAAGATAATTATCAAAAGGGAATGGTTGAGGATTTTTGTTTTATTTAACCCAAGTACAAGACCGATTTAGCACTAAACTGATAGCTTACTGCGTAAAATAACTGCCATTTATTTGCTAATAATTCATGAGATTAAGACATTTGCAAAAGCAAAGGATTTATTCTTATTTGAAGTTGAGTTGTGTACTTGGTCAAGTACTAAGTGACATTAAAGTTTTTGAAGATGATTTGTTATTGTGAGAAAATAAAGCTTTTTTTTCTTGGATTGAATTTTTTTTCTGAAGGATAAAAACCAGATTCACAGTAAAATTATTAGTTTACCGGTTTTTATGTACATCACTTTTTGAAAGATTTGAGGTAAGTTTACATGTTATCTATGATTGCATAATATGATTATTTTCATTTAGCTGATGTAATGTCATTTAGGATGAATTCCTGACGGTAAGTTTTCTAAATACAAATGATGAGTATTTGTGTGCTGGTTTATAAACAGGTTTGTATATTGAGACTAGGTGAATAGCTCCCTGTCCAACAAGGTTGAGCATTTCCTATTTCTCAAAGTATTGCTTTTTGACATCTTAATGGGACACTCTGATTGAGTACCTTAACATTTCAAATACATGCTTGGGATGTGGGAAATGTCAATGTATTTGGACAGATTTATGTATGGCTTCAAACGATTGGTTAACAGGACCATCTAGCTAATATTCCCCCTCAGTTTTGGTAAGTGTTTACAGGTTTGTATACAGACTGAATTGTTTGTACATTCATGTGTTGAAATCCTGTTACTATGACATGAGCTGTGTTGACATAGCATTGCAATAAATGTCTGTACAAATCTCTGGTGTGTTGGTTTGTGTTTTATTTCTATTTCAGATTTATAAACTATGACGTTACCAATGTATAATTCTTTCGCAGTTTCAATAAAGTATGACTATCAGAAAAATAATTGACATATAGTACTATGATAGTAGGTATCGATTTCATTAACTCTTTGTAAAAAATGATGACAATTTCCATCATCTGTGTGATGGTAGATAGCTATTAGGTGTCAATCTTGTCTGGATAAAGGTTTCCCCACAAACTCCTGAAGAAAAACTTGGAATTTCATGAAACCCTCTACAAATACTTATAGTGTCAATACCTATGAAGTTCAATTTTCCCTTGGCTCCGATGTTCAATATCTGCTTTTTAGCCAAAGTGGTTTCTTTGTTATCATCTTGAGGCATGCTTTGATTTTCATCAAAGATCCTTTAAATACCTAGATGATAATAATTATGATTAAAATTATGATAAAAATTAAGTCTGAAATGCATAGTGGCCCTCAGTGGTCATCTTGATGCATCATGGCCCTCAGTGGCCATCTTGGACTTGAGCCACAAAAAGAGTTTCTGTGAAATAACTCTCCCAGGACTGTTCCTACAAATAGTTTTAATATAAATTCCAAACTTAAGTATGGTGTTAAATTTGATCTGAAATTTAACATGGGTGCCAGAGACCATCTGGGATTTTGTAAGTATGTTTATCAAAGATATCTGTACAAGATATTTTTTGATTTTGATATTAGTTGTCGGTTAATGCTCATGCAAATTTGTAAAATTAAAATGCCATTGTGATCTGATTTGCTCAAGGTTTCCTGATATCTTGTGAAAGAATTACCAGTATTGGGTTTTGGTGAAATGTCTTACTCAAGTTTGATGCTCAGCCAGATTAATGCATATTTAATGAGGCTGCTGACATTCAATTGGCCGATGAATTCTGGATGATATTGTTTTAAAAGAATTGCAATATTTTTATGAAACTTGTCTGGAATTATTTCAACCCGAATCCCTCGCTCAAGTTCGATGTTTAACAAATTCATACATACGGCTGATAGTTTCTTGATATCTATTCAAGGAGCTAGATATCAAAGATAATTGCCGAGGTAAGTACATGTACTTAAGTCCCTATTCAAGCTATTTAATGATCTACGATCTGATCAATAATACACCAGCAAATGTATAGCAACTTGTGTGTAAATTGCAATTGGCAACAATTTCACCTTAGCTGGCGAAGGCAGCACAGCCATTAAAGTGAAGTTCTTGTTAACTCGTTCACCAAAGAAATTTCTTTATGAACTATTCCAACCTTTGAACTGGAAGGGTTCAAATATGTCTTTAGGGGTGAATGAGTTAATAAAAAAACAGTTTAGAAAAGTTGAAATAAGATTCCAAACATTGAAATTGCTACTTTTAAAGCATTCTGTGCTTTGGTGTTATCTGAAAATATATCGCTGTTAGCAGGGTGTCATACTTTCGCATTTATGAATCATTCATTTCAACCATACTGCTCACAGTAGTCAAATACTTAAAATAGCTAATTAGAGAATATGCAGGTAGGCAGTAATGGACCTTGATTTTAACTTTCTCTAGTCCTTTGTGAAGGATATGTATTAGTAAGTATATACATTTGTACTCTACATACCGATCGGCTCTCTTTGAGATGGGCTAACAGATTTAGCTCGTTGGTGAACAGTTGGAGTTGGCCTCTCCTTTCTCTACCGTTTACACTGCAGGCCTGCATTATTTTCATTCAAATGAAAGAAAATAT